TACCTGTTAAACACGAATTAAGTTTTCACTATGAAAATCACCTTCTCCACCAAATTCCCTTAAAAAAGTGAAGGCGAGCGTAGTTCGCACGATTACCAGTGATGGAACCGAAGCCGATAAGTATTCGATTAATCAAAACGAGTGCTGGGAAATCCGGCGATGACTATTCGATACTATCGAAACCACTTACAACACTTTCAAAAATACCTATGAAATACTAAGACTTAATTTGAATGTTTTACTTTTAGCTTGATTTAAATTTTAGTTGGTAAATATACAACAACCTATTTAAAAAAATGTACATGACATATGACATGAGAAAACATGCCATGAGTGTTGTGTTCCGATAGTGTCATAAAGCTTTCCGATTTATTGAAAAACTTTGTTTCGACTTTATGATCAAACAAATAGCTAGAAGAAGTTATTAATTTTTAATAATACATTTAATTTGGCCGTATCTGCTAATACTTGACGGGTTTTCGCAAAACAGTTCCTTACCATGCGCAGCTATCGATAGCAACATGCTTTCAATCATCCCTGGCGACCCAACTGGTTGTATACTACATACATACGTACATATACGTATGTATTACATACCTATATAATATTGCCAGCTCTGCACGTGAAATCCGAAGGCGGCGAAAGTAATCTGTGATCAAATCAAGTGAGTTAACGGGCTGTGGGTGCACTTCACCAGCTTTATAATACCCATATCCATAGAAATGTCCAAGGCCAAGGGTAAGAAGAAGGAGCGCTTCGATGACGACGAGGAGCAGCTGGAGAAAGTGCAGGAGAAGAAGCCGCCGACGAACAAAAAGGGTGGCAAGAAGGGAAAGCGTGGAGGTGGCGGCGACTCCAGCGACGAGGATCCTGCACCCAAAAACCGGGACAACGAGGATCTGGAGAGCGTAGCCTCATCGAACCAAAGCAAACAGCAGCAGGCGGGCAAAAAGCAGGCCAAGAAGGGCAAAAAGGGCAGGAAGAACGACGACTGGAGCGATGAGGATGAGAAACCAGCGAAGGGTCTGCCCGCCAACGACCAGGATGATGAGGATGACGAGGAGGCTCCTCCTCCATCCAAGCCGGCTGCCAAGAAGCCACCGCCCAGCAAGAAAAACAAGAAGAACAAAAAGAAGAACGACGACTTCTCCGACGAGGAGGAACCCGAACTGGACTTGGAGGAGCCGGAAGATGAGGATGAAGTGGTCGTTACGGCCGCCAAGCCCGCCTCCAAGAAGTCCAAGAAGAAGCAGCAGAAAAACAAGTTTGCCATGAGCGAGGATGAAGATGATGAGGTTGCAGAAGATCTGCAGGATGACGACAACGAGGAGGAGGAGGAGGCGGTGTCCAACAAGCCTGCGGCTAAAAAGTCCAAGAAGAAGCAGCAACAAAAACAGAAACTGGTAGCCAGCGAGGACGAAGAGGAGCTGGAGGATGAGGATGAGCAGCCCGAAAAGGAAGTGGAGGAGCAGAAGGTAGAGCAAGTACTCAGCGAGAAAGCGGCTGCCGTGAGTCTCAAGGAAAAGACACCTGAACCTGTTGTCGAACCCGAACCCGAACCCGAACCCGAACCTGAACCTGAACTAGAGCCCGAGGAGGATGCCGAAGCAGAGGCGGAACCCAAGTCCGAGGACGGAAAGGAGACCAAGGAGAAGAAGCTCACCCACAAAGAGAAGAAAAAGCAAAAGAAGCAACAGGAGTACGAACGCCAAATGGAGCTGATGACCAAGAAGGGCGGTGCCGGACACTCCGATTTGGACAATAATTTCACCATGTCACAGGTGCAGAAGAGCGCAGGTCAGCAGGCTGCTCTGGAACACGCCGTGGACATCAAGATAGAGAATTTCACCATCTCAGCCAAGGGTGAGTCATCCCTACGTCATTTAATCAATATTTTAACCACTCCCTAACCCTTTATTTTTCTTTGTTCAATCCAGGTAACGATCTGTTTGTGAACGCCAACTTGTTGATTGCCCATGGACGTCGCTACGGTTTAGTGGGTCCCAACGGTCATGGCAAGACCACCCTCCTCCGGCATATTGCCACCCGTGCATTTGCCATACCGCCCAATATCGATGTGCTGCTCTGCGAACAGGAAGTGGTGGCCACCGACAAAACGGCCATCGATACTATCCTCGAAGCTGATGTGCGACGCACGGAGATGCTGAAGAAGGCGGATGATCTGGAGAAACAGTTCGCCGCTGGCGATTTGAGTGTTCAGGAGGAACTTAACGACGCGTTTACGGAGCTAAAGGCCATTGGAGCCTACTCGGCGGAGGCCAGGGCCCGGAGAATCCTGGCCGGTTTGGGTTTCAGCAAGGAAATGCAGGACAGACCCACCAACAAGTTCTCCGGTGGCTGGCGCATGAGAGTGTCCCTGGCCCGAGCCCTCTATCTGGAGCCCACGCTGCTCATGCTTGACGAGCCGACCAATCACTTGGATCTTAATGCTGTGATCTGGTTGGACAACTATCTACAGGGCTGGAAGAAGACACTATTGATCGTGTCTCACGACCAGAGTTTCTTGGACAACGTGTGCAACGAGATTATTCACTTGGACCAGAAGAAGCTGCAATACTACAAGGGCAACTACTCCATGTTCAAGAAGATGTATGTGCAGAAACGTCGCGAGATGATCAAGGAGTACGAGAAGCAGGAGAAGCGACTGCGCGAGCTGAAGGCCCACGGTCAGTCGAAGAAGGCGGCGGAAAAGAAACAGAAGGAGTCGCTTACCCGCAAGCAGGAGAAGAACAAGTCCAAGCAGCAGAAACAGGACGAGGATGAAGGACCGCAGGAACTGCTGGCCAGGCCCAAGGAATATATCGTCAAGTTCCGCTTCCCGGAGCCATCGCAACTGCAGCCGCCCATTTTGGGTGTCCACAATGTAACCTTCGCCTTTGCGGGCCAAAAACCGCTGTTCATCAAGGCCGACTTCGGTATTGATCTGACCAGTCGCGTGGCCATCGTGGGACCCAATGGTGTGGGCAAGTCCACGTTCCTGAAGCTGCTGCTCGGCGAACTGGAACCGCAGGAGGGTGAGCAGCGCAAGAATCACCGCCTTCACGTGGGCCGTTTCGATCAGCACTCCGGCGAACATCTCACGGCAGAGGAATCGGCTGCCGAGTATCTGCAGCGTCTGTTCAATTTGCCGCACGAAAAGGCGCGCAAGGCGCTGGGTTCCTTTGGTCTGGTCAGTCATGCGCACACCATCAAGATGAAGGATCTGTCCGGTGGTCAGAAGGCTCGTGTGGCCCTCGCTGAGCTTTGTCTCAGTGCTCCGGATGTCTTGATTCTCGATGAGCCTACCAATAACCTGGATATCGAGAGTATTGACGCCTTGGCGGAGGCCATCAACGAGTACGAAGGTGGCGTGATCATTGTTTCCCACGACGAGCGTTTGATCCGTGAAACGGGCTGCACTCTATACGTGATTGAGGATCAGTCGATCAACGAGATTGATGGAGAGTTCGATGACTACAGGAAAGAGGTTCTCGATTCGCTGGGCGAGGTGGTCAACAATCCTAGCGTGGTGGCCAATGCAGCGGTGCTGCAATAACCCTGGAGCTTCACACGGACTTGGAGTCCCCGCCCCTGGTCATCATCTCGTCAGCCGGCTCGCCCTATGTTAATTGTTCAACTGTTGAATGGTTTATCCGCTAGTTAGCCTTTTTATACCAACATATATACAATAACAAATTGTGGAAGTAAAAGTTATTACACTAGAAACGTGTAGAATGGATTGCGTATATAAATATTATGGGATTTTGGAAGCTATAAGAAGGAATTTAAATATTGGATACGATTTTCACACTGAAATATAGTTTCATATTAAATATTGCTTGCTAAATCATCAAAAATGTACAAGTTACCAAAAACTTATCATAATCATTGATAGCTATTATATCTTTAACACGTTATATGCATAACGTAAATAATTTTACTTGGAGAAGTTTAGGGTATATAAAAGTCAGTTTTCAACGAATGGGATAGAATCTGCTCGAAAAGTTCCTTGGGAAGCTTGAGACCAATGATGAGATAGTTAACCCAATAACAAGAAGTTATACAAACAAATATGCAGAATAGTTTTTGTTTATTTCAGCAACTGATTTTTGCGTGCATTCCAAAAAATGGATAAACTTAGCCTAAGGTACATATAATTCTTAACACTAGATGTGCAAATTAGTGGATGATGGAGTCCTAGCCGCTGCGGTAGAAGGACTTGACGTTGTTGATCAAGTGGCTCAAACCATTGTAGCCATCCTTATCGAAGTCGATATTCTCGCCGCCGAATTCAATGACCTGAAAAGGGAGAACAAGGGAATTAGGAATCATCTAAGACGTAGGAGAATCTAGAGCAAGAGCATCCACCTCCTTGGCCCTGATGGTGTCGGCACCATGTGGCACTCCAATAACCTCCACCCAGGCTCCATCGGCGGCACTCAGTTCCCCCGGCAGATTGATCTTCAGCTTGTGGTTGTCCGTGGAATTGGCCAGCAAAGTGGATCCCGCCACGCTCTCCACGCGCACCATTATGCTCACGGTTTGGCCGGAAAACTGCTTCAGCATTCCTCCGTTGATAATCGAGCGAGGGTCAAAGGCATCCATAATTATTCAGCAGTTTATTCGGGTTTAATCAGAAAAGTTGCAAATTTCGGCACGAAATGAAATGCGTAAACAAGAAAGAGCGCCAATCAAGACAGCGATGACAGAATCGATACACCGTTAGCTGAGTGGTGCTATCGATAGTTTAAAAGCAATTATTTATTTTATTTCAATGAAATTACATTACTTATTTCTGATTATTTTCTCAGAACTTATGGGTAATCATATTCAACAAATGTTTTTTTATGTGGTTTAAAAGTTCTTGAACTGTTTTATATATTTTTTACCACCAAATTATTAATATCATCGCTTGGGACTACCCCAAAAACTTCGATAACACGCAAGATGAGAATTGCTCACTGGAAAACGCCCCGGTGAGAACGTGCTAGTTTCAGGACCTCAGACAACTAAATCGATGTATCGATAGTTTTTAGCCTGGCCAACCGAACCAATGTTTATTGTTATAAAATAAATGTTAAAAATAAACACTTAATCACTTAATATAAACAAAAACTAGTGCAAGCATTGTTAAAACCACCCCCGCCCTCGGAACTTACCTCATCGCGGGCGTACAACAACAAATAGAACAACAACAACGCCACCAGCAGCAGCAGCAACAACAACAAGCAGGAGACTCAGATTCGCAACGCAATCAAAAAAAATAAAACGGAAAAAACAACTACAAGGCGAAACGCATAAATAAATAGGGAAACAAATAATAGTAATAATAAGACTAAAAGCAAGTGGAAAAGTACGAAAGCGAAAAGAGAAAACATATGTACGTTGCGTGAGAGTGACGTGTGTTTGTGTGTGTGTGAGCGAGCGAGAGCGAACGATAGAGGGGGCAAAAACAAAAACAACAGCCAGCATAAGCGAGACCTTGAAAACTTTAAAAGCAGCAGAAAAAACAAAAAAATAAAACCAACAAAAAAAAAACAAAAACAAAAAAGGCTGAAAAAATAACAAAAAAATAAAAAAGTATAAATATTTTAAGAAGAAATATTTGTATATAAAATTATTAGAGAGGAGCGGAGCCTATACTCTGTTATGGAGAGTGACGATTTTCATTTACCGCAAGGCGCCAATTAAAGGGGAAAATCCATAAAGCGAGGATTGCCAGTGGAAAAGCCACAACAAAAGGCAATTTCCCACGCCACTAAAAAAAAGTGGTGGAAAATCGGGCAAACAAAATGGCTGCAGCAGAGGCGGGCAACACGGGCTCCACAGGATCCGGATCCGGATCTGGATCGGGTTCGGCCTCATCCTCGGATCCTGCCAACGGCCGGGAGGCCCGCAATCTCGCCGAGAAACAGCGACGGGATAAGTTGAATGCCAGCATCCAGGAGCTGGCCACCATGGTGCCACATGCAGCCGAATCCTCACGACGCCTGGACAAGACCGCCGTCCTCAGATTCGCCACCCATGGCCTGAGGTTGCAGTATGTCTTTGGCAAATCCGCCTCCAGGCGCCGACGAAAACCCAGCTTGAAAGGCTCTGGGCTCTCCGCCTCGGCTGGCGGAGATCTAGCCAATCCCAGTATGCATCTCACGGACACCTTAATGCAGCTGCTGGACAGCTGCTTCCTCACCCTTACCTGCAGTGGCCAAATCGTTTTGGTCTCCTCCAGCGTGGAGCAGCTCCTGGGTCACTGTCAATCCGATTTGTATGGCCAGAATCTGCTCCAAATCACCCATCCCGATGATCAGGCCTTGCTGAGGCAACAGCTAATACCCAGGGATATAGAGACCCTGTTCTATCAGCAACAGCATCAGCAGCAGGGGCACAATCCCCAGCAGGGCCACTCCACATCCACATCGGCCTCAGCCTCTGGCAGTGATCTGGATGAGGAGGAAATGGAGACGGAGGAGCAGCGCCTGCAGGAGGAGCAGCAGCAGCAGCAGCAGGACGAGGAGGATGAGGATGAGGAGCACCCGTATAACCGACGTACACCCAGCCCGCGGAGCATTGCCCATTTGGCGGCCATCGATGAACGCCTGCGTACGGATCGTCGCTGTTTCACAGTCCGCTTGGCCAGAGCCTCCACGCGGGCGGAGGCCACGCGGCACTACGAACGGGTGAGGATTGACGGCTGCTTTCGCCGCAGCGACTCCTCGCTGACCGGCGGAGCTGCTGCCAACTATCCCATTGTCTCCCAGTTGATACGACGCTCGAGGAACAATAATATGCTGGCCGCGGCCGCAGCTGTGGCGGCAGAAGCGGCGACAGTGCCGCCCCAGCACGATGCCATTGCCCAGGCGGCGCTGCACGGGATCAGTGGCAACGACATTGTGCTCGTGGCGATGGCCAGAGTGCTGCCGGAGGAACGGGCGCCCGAGGAGACGGAAAGTCCGCTCGGCCTGACCATCTATAGGCAGCCAGAACCCTACCAGTTGGAGTATCATACGAGGCACCTTATCGACGGCAGCATCATCGACTGTGATCAGAGGATTGGTCTGGTGGCGGGCTACATGAAAGATGAGGTGAGTGTATTGACATGGCCACCGTATCCAGTTCGTTGTTAATCATTTGCTCTTCTCCCCAAATCAGGTGCGTAACCTTAGCCCCTTCTGCTTTATGCATCTGGACGACGTACGCTGGGTTATTGTGGCCCTCCGGCAGATGTACGACTGCAACAGTGACTATGGTGAGAGCTGCTACCGTCTGCTATCCCGGAATGGTCGGTTCATCTACCTGCATACGAAGGGCTTTCTCGAAATCGATCGTGGCACCAACAAGGTGCACTCATTCCTGTGCGTCAACACGCTGCTCGACGAGGAGGCGGGCCGGCAGAAGGTGCAGGAGATGAAGGAGAAGTTCTCGACCATAATCAAGGCTGAGATGCCCACGCAGAGTACCACTCCCGATTTGCCCGCCTCTCAGGCGCCGCAGCAACTGGAGAGGATTGTACTGTATCTGATAGAGAATCTGCATAAGAGTGTGGATTCGGGCGATGCGGTTGGGGGACAGCCCATGGAGAGCCTGATGGACGATGGCTACTGTTCGCCAGCGAATACGTTGACCCTCGAGGAACTGGCTCCATCGCCCACGCCCACCTTGGCCCTGGTGCCGCCGGCTCCCTCATCGGTGAAGAGCTCCATTTCCAAGTCGGTGAGTGTGGTCAATGTGACGGCGGCCAGGAAGTTTCAGCAGGAGCATCAGAAGATGCGCGACCGAGATCGGGATCGGGAGCTGCTGAGGGAGCGCAGCCACTCCTCGCAACAGGGAGTGATCCGGCAATTGAGCAGCTGCCTCAGCGAGGTGGACACAGCATCCTGCACTCTATCGCCGGCTAGTAGTTTGAGTGCTGGTGAGGCGCCCGATACGCCAGATCCACACAGCAATACACCGCCGCCACAGCCGCTTCATACGCGTCCCAGTGTTCTGCATCGAACACTGACCAGCACGCTGCGATGACGGGCTGATGGCTCCTGGTTTGCCTTCTAATTGGGTGTGGAAAGGGACGCCATTAGTAGCTCACATTGCATCTTTGATATAAACCAAACCAATCGCAAGTGAAAACCCAAAATGTATCAGATACTTTTCAAGCTTAGCCAAAAAAAAAGAAAGGAGTAGTTAGTTCTAACCAGTGGTTTTTAGAGGCTTGGAAACTTGTATTTTATTATTCCCAGCTCCAGACATTTTATTAATGCAATTTGGGTTCAGTGCCTATATAATGACTGGCCTTAAAAGAGCAATTAAAAAGGAAAAACAGAATTTGTAATATAATAACCCTATAATTATATGGGAATTCCCTCTCTTTCTGGTTTCAACTACCTACTTTTCAACTTGTTCAAAGTGCATTCTTAATCACAACCAAACGAAATTATTAGCTTTGTGTATATTAACATATTATAACATGGTTTCATTATAGTTTCCTTAAAAAATTAGGACGCATTTATTTCGAGATTGTGGCAGTAGTAATAATCTGATCACGATGATCGCTATTAAAAAGTGTAAGATACAATTTGGGAATCACTGATTTTGCAAGTGATATCGATGCGAAATAGTTCGGCTATATGTTATATTGTATGCCGATCGGTGTGTGCTGCTAAGACGGCGTTCCATAATCAATAATCTTCGTTATGTAATTACGTTTAATTTGTAAATATGGATGTGTGTGTGAGCACGAGTGCGTCTGTGTGCATGGGTGTGTTTGAAGACTAGATCAGTGCTCGGCTTCGGTTTTAGTTGAAATCTAAGCCCCATTTCCCGATTTCCCAGTTATCACCCTCCGCCCCCCCCGCACACCAGTGTAAAAAGAGTACAAAAAACAAACAATTATATATTTATTTTGCCCTAAGTCTGGAAACGCTAGAAACGACTCATTAATAGTTATACGGATTTCGCAATCGATGGAAACTAAACGCTCGACTTTTTTTTTTTTGCCATCGCCACAGTCAAACTTCTCGAAATTGAACTCGAAAGTCTCCTGAAAATTTGAATTTATTATTTGTTAATATTTTTAATGCGTATAGAGAATCGATTTTAGGTGTGCTTTTAAAAAAATGGTTAAAATTTCCTTAAAAATCAGCCTAGTTTGGATATTTTTAAAGATTTTATAAAATTGAAATGCAAATTGTTAGTGTTGGAAAAGTGTTTAGTACGAAAGTACAAAATAGAAAACCAAATTAAAAACTAGGAATGCCAAAACTCTGATAAAGTTTCTAATTAAAACTATTTAGACAATTTTAACTACACTCATGAAAATGATAGTTTTTTGAAATTAGCTTAAAATTTTAAAAGCATGATTTTTTTAAGGAAACATGATTTAATCCAAAGCCCAGTGAACGAATAATAAAAAAGCAATAACTAAACTTTTCAAAAAAATCGAATTACACTAAGATTGAAAACTTTTATTAAAATTAAACCAAATAATGAAAGTTTAGATAGTCAAGACAATATCATTTTAAAAATGATTTACATTTTAAAGACCTTAAACTTGTAAGAACAACTACAGTGAAATATTTCCTTATAACAGTGAATATTTAAACCAAGAATCTATGAATCAAGACTCCAGTTTATTTTTTTATAAAAACCTAATGGATTCACGAATATATTTTAAATTCAGAAGAGGCGGTCAGTTCGTGCTGGTGAAGTTTACTGTAGCCCAATACTCACAAGGCCAGAGTGACCTGTTATCAAAGCCTTTGCCATCGTCCTTGGCGTTGCGTTCTTATCATCGACGTATCGGAGGGGAGTATACATTTTATTTTTCGGGGAAGTGGTTCTAGTGGTAATTATGAGGCGGTGGGTGGTGGTTTTGGGAGGTTGTGAGGAGGCGGGGTTATCGTTTCGTTATTTTTTTGTTTTATAGCGAAATTCTGCTAGCTATAAACCTATGCATATATATAGTATGTATATTATTAACATTTCGTTTAGCTCAATTTTTTGTTTGTATTTTTAATTATTACTCGGTTTGTCTAGTGTGTAATTTAATTAAAAGTCGTATGCTAATTTCCCAGCGAATCGTTCAGTGTTTGTCCAAACGAGTTGTGCTCTTTAAACACTTTTGGTTTATCCCTTCAATTAAATTTTGTTTGTTTCCTTGCGTTGTTATTTTCCCAAAAAAATAAGTTTTTCTTTAGTAATATTAATATAGTTTTAAGTGTAATGTCAAATGTCAAGTGGTATAATCGACGTAAGAATAATACTGTGTAATGTCTTTTTTAGAACTTGCTAAACTATAGCAATTAAAAATATAGGCCGTAATTAACAATAATTAATTATAATAATCAGTAACAGTTCATGAAGATGAATTAATAAATAATAAATTATATAAATGATAAATAGTGTCTTTTTATTGTGGGTAAAAAAGAAATGTGATCTAAATTGTATTATTGGATGATATGCTGAACTTATTTTATTAAATTCTAATTTAAATTAAGCGGGAACTGGTAAATTAGCTGTGTGTTGTCACGTTTGTTAGAAGAGTGCAGCTAGCCATACTGCGTGTTAAAAAATGTTTTGGCGCCCTTGCTAGCAAGTTTGCCAAGTTTTTTATAAAAGATTCGCGTATTATAAGTTCCTTAACAACTGCTTATAAAATTTAAAGTGATGTTAAACATTAACTTAAAATGTAAGACATAAAAAAAATAAAAATTAGTAAATGTAAGATTTACAGTAGATTTCCAGTCGTACGAGTTTAAGGTGAGTTCGAAAGTGTGGTGAGATTCCATTTAATTTATGGACAATAGAGTATAAGTATTTTATTTTATTACTAAAATAAATTTATATTGCCTTTATAAATTCATAGAGGTAGTGTTAATGAAGTTATACTTTGTCTTTTATTTTGATATAATATAGTGTTGCATATTTCAAGTGCCCAAATGTTTGGACGTAGAACAATCCCAATTAAACATATTAATTTTAATATTCAGAATAAAGTCTAATCAATTATGTTTCTTTTAATCAAATAATAGTGTTTGGTGAATCAAAAAATCATTATTAAAGGAAACCCCTGCAACAAAGATTATTCTTGGAAAATCATACAGAAAATTAAACGTGAAGCCATAAATGAGCTCAAGTTATTTATTTATTATTTCTAACTTCTTAAGAAAATAAATCATTTTCAGCCACGAAAGCTTTAAGAAAGTGGTAATTACATTTAGTAACAAGTGTCTCACCTCACGGTCAGTGTAATTTAAAACAAAATTAAGCAGCGTTTTTAAGATTGAAATTAACTATTTCGTAGATATTCAAATTCGAATTTGCGCGCCTTCATGTGCACCTATAGCTATCCTGCTCACACGCACCGCTTCCGAATAACGGTGGTGCTTCAGCGAACCCACCACGGCGACACAAAACCCACCAACTCAGTTTTCCATTAACAGCAAATGTTAGAAAACGTTTTATCCTAACATTTCTGTTGAAGAGGCAAATTCAAAATCGGTTGGTGTGACCATCCGCCAAGCTGTTTTTGCTATATTTGAACATTTACACCCAACATTCATGTTTTGTTAGCTCCTCAAGGTATTTGAAAAGTGTCACACTTTATCATTCGAAGCATACCCAAAATTATTTAAAGTATATCCAGCAAAAAGTGAGAGAGCATTGCATTTACAGCGAATACGAGATGGTTTCTCTTCCCGCGAAATCATTTTTTCAGTTTTCTTGTGTTTGAACGTAAGCAAACGTAAGCAACCGTAAGTGAAAAAAGTAAAAAAGCGAGATAGAAGATTTATGGATCTTGCTCTCCGAAAAGCAGCTCTGCAAATCTTAACATTGAAAAATCTTAACATTTCTGTTGAATGGAGATGGGGAGCAAATTCAAAATCAGCTGGTGTGACCGTCCGCCAACCGCGGCGAAATGTACAAAATAAAAGCAGATTGGTCTGTCTTTTTCGTTTTTAAATTCAGGGGCTGCGATTCGCAGCAATCAAACTGTTTCTGCTGCGCCGTTTCGACAAACAAACCTGCGGACGGACGGAGAAAAGGCAGGCGCTCGAAAAACGCAACATTTGTCTATTGGTCCGTTCCGCTTTTTTCTGCGTCTGTGTTTTTCTGTCGCGTGCGCGTGTGTGTCGGTGCTCGTTTTTTGTTATTTTTTTTAAACCAACGACAACACGAAAAATTTTCAAAAAAATACACATAAAATTCGGTGTATATATTTAAATGATTTTGTTTTTGGTGGCGTGTTGAATGAGAAAATTTTGAGAAACGCAGTGGAAAACGTAAGACATAAAGCTTAAAGTAAAAGCAGAAATTGAGAGTTGTTTGTTGTGTGTGCGTGCGTGTGTGTGTGTGTGTGTGTGCAACAATAATAACAAAAAGAACGAGAGAGCCATAGAGAGGGGGCGATGGGGGCAGACAGAGCGAGTGAGGTGGAAGCAACACCTACGCAACTTTTTTTTTTTGTTATTTCTTTTTTTTGGCATGCCGTTGCTTTCTCTCTTCCACACACAGCCTCATTTGACTTGTTGTTGTTGTGCGGCAAATTTCTCCACTTCCTGTTATCTTTCGGCTTTTTTTCGGGTTTTGTTTCCAAATTAGCTCTTAAATAATCAATATAAATTGCGAAAATATTTCCAGCCGCATTAAAGAAACTTGTCCTACATTCGGCAATAAATAAGAAGTGAAGAAATACGTTAAAAAAACTTGTTTTGTTTTGTTTTTGTGTTTTATGTGCGCCGAGATCATAAAGCTCTCGCTCTCTCTGTCGCTCTCTTTCCCCCGAGATCAATCATATCAATCTGCTCTTCGCTCTTGTCTCCTCTCTTTGCAACAAAGTTGAAGGTCTTTTTTGCATGGCAATGTTGCCAAGCGCCAGAGACAACAACAAATAGCAACAATAACAAAACATACACAGAACGAAATTTAAAGAACCATAATGAATGAAGCTTACTTTGAATGATCCCAATAAGAAATCAACAATTCATTTTCACTGTATTATGATATTGGTAAAAATTGCATTAAAATAGGTCAATAATCGTTATAAAAATGTATACCTTAATTGAGGATCTGCTCAAAATATCACCATTTTAAATAACCAATCTCACAATGAGATATCTATACAAATTATTAATATTATTATGAATGAAGCTAACTAAGAATGATCCCAATAAGAAATCAACAAATCATTTTCAACGTATTTACCTGTATTTTAATAATAATATTGGTAAAAATTGCATTAAAATAGGTCAAGAATCGTTATAAAAATATGTATACCTTAATTGAGGATCTGATCAAAGCATTACCATTTTTAATAACCAATCTCACTATGAGTTATCTATACAAATTATTCAGAATTTCGTTCTGTGCAGCGTTTTGATTTCGCAGAACTGGTTTTCTGGCGTTTAGTTTTATTTATTTTTCATATTTATTTGTTTCTTTTGCTGGCTGGCGAGATTTTAAATATTTCAATGACGTCAGCGGAGGCTAAATTGTTGATCAGCAATTTTTTGCAACTGCAAAAGACTGGGCAATTAATTAGCACTTATCTGCGATTAGGATTTAAATAAAATTTATGTCTTGAATATTCAAACAGTCCGGCTTTTATAACTTGAATAAAAAAGCGATTTAATTATTATTCATTCCTAGAATTTGTGATTCCCTACGGAAAATGAATATTTCATGAATAGAAAAGAGTTGTTTTTCAATAAGGTCTATGATAACAAGAATATTTATAAATATTTGCATACATTTGTAAAATTTTTTTGGAACCATTTCATATAGTACCTCTTCATATCTTTATAAAGTACATTATAAAGTCGAAATATATCTGCCCACTGTAATAAGATATAGAAACAAGTCGCAGAAAAATATAAAAAATCTGAAAAAGCTCTTGGCGCAAGCGCAAAGTGTTGAAGAAGAGGAAGAGTAAGAGCAGAGCAGGTAGAGAGCGAGACAGCAACACCATATCTTCCTGTCTCCCTCTCGTGATCGCTCTTCCACATTTATTTATAATTTATTCTCTCTTGCAGATCACAAATAAAATGTTTTAATTAATTATAAAAAAAAATAAACAAAATTTCAACCAATTGGTTACCGAAAAAATTATAAAATTTTACCGCGCTGACGAGAAAATTGTTGTAAACAATGCATTTAATTAAAGTTAAGACTAAACTCGCGCTTAAAATGCCCGAAATCAAAAGAAACTAGCGAAATACACAATCCAAAAATCGCACAAAAA